CTTTTTTATTGAAACTGTGCTGGTGTTTGTGAATCTCAATGGCTTCCCGGTATAGCCTGGTATAGTGGCTGTTGGTGTTGTCTAACACTAACACTTACACTGTTTCTCTTTCATAAAGAGAAAAGGCTGACATTTAATGTGTAAGGTTCAAAATCAGACTTATGCATTACTATTATTAAACAATAAAGCTATTAAAGTAAATTAAGGCTGAACAATGAGCCTGTCACCAAGGATGATGTACAAATCCATATAAATAATACAGACAAGCTGTAATTGAATTCCAGGAATCCCTTAGCATCTTCTAAACATGAGCCCACAGACATCGAAGGAAGCTCAAAATAAAGGTGGAAGGTTGCTGATTGTATCATTTCTTAGGCTTTTAAAAAAGAGATAATACTTTCATGCAAGAACTCCAATTCATTGCAATTTGCTTAGGGAGTCAGAAAGCTACTGGGTTTGTGCAACAAATATATATATGCTAATTGTTCGGACTCTCACTTGACTCACCCAAAGAAACAACCAAAGAAATGTATGCCAGTCTGAACTGGAGAAAAAAGTGGAATATAAATCTAATAAATAATACTTCCAAGATTTGTCCAGAGACACATCATCTGCTTTCATTTGAAGAATCTGCATATATTGCACCAAGGGATACAGGCATTTCCCCTAATTTACCCAAGAACTCAGAGAACAAGGAAAACAAACTTAATTCCATTATTATTAATTAATTAATATTCCATTATTATTGTTGTTGTTGTCATACTATAAGACATTATTAAGAAATATGAATTGGTATAGGTTAATGAGTGCACTGTTCAGATGGGAGCATTAACCTGGTTTGCCTCTTGCTCTTGAATCTCACATTTTATTTCATGGCATCTATTGGACTGCTCCGTAGTCAGATAGTTAGAAACCCAAACCCAACCCGCACAATAGCAACAGCTCAAAAATGTGCATACTGATAGACAGAGGGAACAAACTACAGTAAATAAGAGCAGAAACAGATCATTAGCACCAGGGCACACACATTCTGACCTCTTTGATAGACCATCAAATTTAAGGAAATAAATCCTAGTAGATCTTCTCGAAGACACCCATCCTTAAAGTTCCTTTCTCTCTTGACATGCTTACTCTTGTGAATGACAAACCATCCTTCCCTGGCTAACTTTTCAAGCAGAGACCAAATTCTCAGGAGCTTTTGAACTGCATTTATTAATGCAAGATGTGAAGATACCAGCCACTATTGGAAAAAAAATACACAAGATATTTGAGTGCAGATGTATTCTAAATTCAGTGCTTGTTTCCCTTACCAGTTCTTACTCCCAAGTTTTCTTAAGAATATCTGAATGGAGGAGTATTCAACCAGGTGAATCCCAGATTTCAGTAGTATCACCTAGTCTATATTCATGAGAAATATACCTTAGAGAGGAAACTTGACTACAGTTGGCTAATGTACAAACTGCCAAGGCTGCTAAGCCCTACAAAATCTAGAAAAACTCTAATGAAAGATACATAGATGCAGAGATGTCTAAATCAAGCACTTGGCCCATGTGGCTATTTAGAATTTTTTTTAAAAACATGCTGATTCTCTGTATCCAAAAAGAGTGTGTATGTGAATTTTTTGAGGACTGGGTTTTGACTGATTAGATTACTGCTCAAGTATTTAACAAGGTAAGATTTGTCAGACCTGTTGGCTCAAGTCTATCCATCAAGACGGGCAAAAACGACAACATCAACAATTGCACTGAAGGGATTTTTCAGAAGCTATTCTGTTGTAATCAGAATAACAAACAGTCTTATGGGACTTTAAACAATCACATTTATTGCAATATAAGCTTTTCTGTCCATCACAAGCATGGAATATTAGGAGTGTACATAAATTCGTGGTTAGGAGTCTTTATACACCATTACTGGGTAGTGAAGCAGGGTGGAATTATAAACAGTGAGTTAAGGAAGAAACTAAAAGCAGGTAGTAAACATGCTATTGAGTCCACTCTGTTGAATCTCATAGAGTAGGCAGAAACAATGGGAGAACGGAGGTCCCTCAGATAAGCAGGCCCTATGCCATGATGACTTTTGTGGGTGACAACCAGCACCTGGAATTGCACCTGGAAGCTGACTGGTAATTATTGCAGCTCACTCAGTAGAAGCGTTACATGAGCATTCTAAGGTACGTCCATAACTGTTGCATTCTGGACCAGCTGTCATTTCTGAATGGTCTTCACGGGCAGCCCTATATACAGCTCTTTGCATGCAAAGTCCATATGCAAAGTAACTAAGGCATGAGGGACTATGAGAAAGGACTCCCAATCCAGGAAAGAGCATAATTGATGCACTAGATGAATATGTGCAAAGACTTTCCTGGCCACAG